TCTTGTATAATCTTAACATTAGAGAAACTTTCATAAGCAAGAATGTGGTCTTTTATGAAAAAGGTTTTTCACTACAAAAATATTACTAAAGAAAATGTCTACGTAACTACTCTTGTTTACAAAGATAATGATTTTCTTCTAGAACCTACTATGTTTAACAAGTTTGGATGTAGTGAGTTTCCTTGCATACAAGATTCAAACAATGCTAACCAAGGTATCACAGTAGCAGAATCTATTGAAGAAACTAACCAGAACCAATAACATAAAGAGGCAGATATTGAAAATCAGGGAATTACTAATGAAGAGAAAGTTGAACTTGAACAAAGCCAAAATATGGAAGTCAAAAGATCTACAAAAGAGAGAAATGAACCTGCATATCTTAAAGACTATGAGTATTCACTTCTTAAGATGAATATCATTAGTTTTACTTCCAAAACTATACCCTCTTCTAATATTAAAACTTCCAAACACATCATGTATAAGTATATTTCTTATGATCTAACTACAAAAATTTTCATCTTTCAATTTGTTCAGACAAAGACCTTGAAAGCTATGAAGAAGCTATACAACAAAGTTGCTGGATAAATGCAATCAATTCAAAACTAAAGGCTCTCAAAGAGAATAAGACTTGGAAACTTTGTCATCTACCTCCAAATGAGAGAGTAATTGGATGCAAATGAGTTTTCAAAACTAAAAGAAAGAGTGACGGTTCAATAAAAAGATACAAAGCCAAATTAGTGGCCAAAGGATTCACTTAAACAATTGACCTTGATTACACTTAGACCTTGAGTCCAATGGTCAAGATGACAACTATTAGAATTTTATTATCTATCACTACTATTTTTGGGTGGCATTTACATCAGTTAGATGTAAATACAACCTTCTTGCATAGAGACTTCAAAGAAGAGGTCTACATGAAGGTTCCTAATGGGTTAAATGTCAAGGATACTTCTGTAGTTTGTAGGATGACCAAATCTGTATATGGTTTGAAACAAGCTAGTAGAGAGTGGCATAACAATCTTACCTCTTTTATTGTGAAAAATGGTTATAAAATGTTCTTTGCTCACCACTCTTTATTTATAAAATCAACATCCATGGACTTGACTACCTTATTAATATATGTGGATGACATTTTGCTTGTAGGAAACAACTTAAATGAGATAGAGGAAATCAAAAGAAGACTGGATAAAAAGTTTCCCATTAAAGACTTAGGGAATGCTACCATATATTTTCTAGGAATGGAAATAGCAAGATCCAGCAAAGGGATACAGCTCTGACAAAGAAAATACAGTATTAATCTGCTAAAGGAATGGGACTTGGTAGATGCCAAACTAGTTTCAACTCCTATGGATTATCATGTCAAGCAACATGTTAAGAATGGAAGTCTTCTAGCAGAACCAAATTGCTACAGAAAATTGATAGGGAAGCTTTTATATCTTACTCAAACTAGACCTAAAATTTGTTATAGTGTACATAAATTAAGTCAATTTATTCAATCACCTTTTGAGAATTATTTTTTAGCAATAAAAAATATCCTTAGGTTCATTAAAGCATCACTAGGAAAGGGCTATTTTTCCCTAAACAAACAGATTTGATTTTGAGAGAGTTTGTGGATGTAGATTGGGTTGGATGCCAAGAGACTAGGAAGTCCATCACTAGATTATGCTTTTACATAGAATCAAGCCTTATATCCTAGAGAAGCAAGAAGCAAGCAACCGTGTCAAAGTCCTCACTATAATCAGAATATAGAGCCCTTAGTCAAGCAGCTGTTAAAGCTTAATGGATTAACCACATTTTACAGGATAAAAGTCAATCAAAAGGCTTCTACTAATCTATTTTGTGACAATCTATCTGCTATATATATTGTTAGGAATTTTGTCTTCCATGAAAGAACTAAACACTTGGAAATAAATTGTCATTACATCCGAGAGAAAGTTTAGAACAAACTGCTACACTTGATGCCTATTTCTTCATCAAACCAAGTTGAAGATTTGTTTACTAAAGCACTACCACCTCAAATTTTCAACAGACATGTATGCAAGCTTGGGATGGAAGATATAACCATTCTAGCTTGAGAGGGAGGGGTGTAAAAGTAACTAAGTTTGTTGGTTAACTTTCTCATTTTAGTTAGTTTTTCTTTTTTTAGCTTTTCTTGTTTTCTGAGCTTGGATCAGTGCCTATATATATTACATCTGATTCTCCTTATATGTATAACCTTAATTCAATTCATTTTCTTGCATATTAAATTTATGCTTCTCTAAGTCAAGTATATCACTTCCTTTGTTGAAGATTATTTCTCTACATCAGGAATCTTGTCATTCTTTGATTTGTGTTCTTTTTCTAAATCTTTGATCCTTCATTTCTCATCAACCTTTATTCTTTGTTAGTTTTTCATATACACGATACAATGAAATGGAAAGAAGCTTACTTGTTATCCTTTTGGTTCAGTCTCTTTGATCCGGCTCCTCAATCTTCTATAATTTTGTGTTGGCATCTCATTTTTCTATTTGCTCTTCTTTTCCCGTTTCAATTCTTTGTTTTCTAAGTTTCCCGATTTAATTTGCATCTTTCAGTTTTATGAGATCTCTAACCAAAGTTCAAAATTTTTTATTCTGTTTCCATTTCTATACAAAACGTTTTTTTTTATCTATTGCTAGCTGAATTTACAGTAAATATTTAATTTTCATTTTTTGAAGTCAAATCTCCATTTGATAAGAGAACTATAACTTAAAAAAAAATATTTCTAATCCTTTTTACAAGAATAGATCAAACAATAAAATAAACTAAAAAAATTCAAACACACAAAAATTGGTACCCACATGCTCTTAATTACCCGAAGTCATAGAATCATCGAGTGACATATTGCTCACAACATCATGTGTAAGTAACTAAAATATTTTCTTTCACTAAGCTTCAATTATTCTATGGTGGGATGTTGACAAGTTCCTTTTGTTTTTCTTCTCCCGATTCCTGAGGCCACACTCTTCTCATCTTATTTCTATGCTTTTGGATTTGTGAGATCAACCATGATGGGTCCATTAAAAGAATAATAATTGATAAGGCAACTTTGCTTAAGTGACTTTTGATTCACTGGACCTTCTCCTAGTGATCTTATAATAACAATACCAAGGGTCCCTCTGGCATCATCCTGGAATCTCCTTTACCTCTTATGGAATATATTAAAGTAAGAAAGGTGATCAAGTACAGCAGCATGTTAAAGAGAAAGGTACTATAATAACTCCTTCTTTTCTTGTTTTTCAAACATTTGGGCCACATACTACAAATGCATATCAATAATAAATATTCCTTCCTTTGAGTATGAACAAAGACTGCCACCAAGCAATTGTTTTTCAAGACACAAGTAGCATATGCTTGCAGATGAAGAATCACCCTCCCCACCCCGCGTGTTGTTGCTGGACCCACCAAGCTATCTTCTAACCTTGTGTCAAAATAACATTATCTAATGAAGAAATAATCGAATAGGTAATAAGTGTGTGCATGTTTCTTTTGGTTAGTTTGAGCGAGTTTGAGGGTTAAATTTTGGAAAAAGAAAATAATTTTTTTTAAAAGTAAAATTTATATAATATTTATAAAAATAAATAAACAAATTAACATCTAAAACTTATATTATTCTATTACTTTTTATTATAAAATTACCAATTTAAAATTATTTATTAAAAATAAAATATTATTATCCTCTCCCTCTTCTCTGGAATCCCAACTCTCATATATCCTTAAATAATAGGTACACTTAACTATTATTTATCAAATGGAAAGTGAAGTTCTTCAAATGGCTGGCTTGAAAAACCAAAAATAAATGGGAAAATTGTTACACAGTTCAGGCAGGCTAGCTGGGAATCCATGGTGCCGAAGGGGCAGTAGTTTGAGGACCAATCATTGGATTGTGATTCTAGTGATCAAGCACTAGATCGCAACCTGAGAAATTTGAAGAATGATTTGATCGAATTGGCTTTCTAAGATTTGTTGTTGGCCATTAGTCTTCCTTTTTCTTTTTCTTCTTTGCTTTTATTTTTGGTGAAAATTTCTTTTCTTCTCTTCAGCTTGGATATAGATTACAACTTTAAAGTAAATATTCCCTTCGGAATAATTTCTTTATGAGACTTTTATCCCGTGTGAGCCCTGTTGATTGCTTTCATATTAAAAGAAAAGGGTATAGTCACATATTTTGTGTGTTCTTGACATCTCATTGTAATGGGTGGTATTACTTTTACTCTATCTTTTTTATAAAACCATAGACTTATGTTGAAGCATGTTTGAATTTAATCCCTCCAGGGAATACAACACTTACATTTGCACTGTTGGCTTATATGCATCACCCTAACCTAATGATTGATAATGGTTAAGGCATAATTTGTGACTGAAGAGTGGGGGTGGTCCCTATGAACTTGGGGGCTTGAAATTCATTCGTTAGGAAAATCTAAGAAATTATGATCTGTTCAACATCACGAACGGTCACATTTTTTTATCAGTGTCCTTTTGATAAGAGGGGTACAGAACATTATCTCTTGACACGGCTTGATTAGTTTCTTTTTTCTAGTATGCTTTCTTTATAAAGAACATGTAAGCTCTGGGTCCAAATATCTAATCCTAGATTCTTTGATTCCTCCATTCCTACAAGGAACAAAAAGAATCTGCCAATTGCATTACACACACAACCTTCTCACAGAAAAATCAAAATTAAAGTTGTCGGAAAGGGAAAATGAAATTTAAAAGAAAGATTGATTAATTTAGTTTTCACTTTCAATCGCCACAAGCAAATATTCATAATAGCATTCCCATAATTTTTTATTACTATTTTCTACCTGAAAGCTTCTCACAGCATCAAGAAAGTTGCACCCATTATTCATCATGGTGGGCCTCCCGATCAGTAGGGAATCAACTTAGAGAGAGTTAAGTGGGAAAACAGCAAGAAAAAACAAACTATACACTTTTCTTCTTTTCTCTCCTTTTAAGACTCAAAATTGAGCTGTTTTCCTTTCTCTGTTTTTTCTGCATCGGAGATTCTCTCCACCCCTTTCAAGTCAAAGAAGGGAAGGGTAAGGGGGAAAATAAAAAAGAAAAAGTGGGTATGAAATGGGATGAGAGAGGAAGAGTCACGGCTCATGGCATATATTCCACCAACATAACCCCACAAATGCTTCCTTATATGGAGTGAGATCAAACAACAGCACAACTACTCCCAATTTATAAAGAGAACTATAGCTCCGACATATTGAAGCATAGCTAAAAGCATCAAAAGTATATTTATGTTTCAGTCCATTGCCAGTATTTCTTCCAAAAAAAGCGAAAATGGATCACCAAAATGAGCAAAATCAAAGTATGCGTTTGGTTTTGTCCACTGATGCCAAGCCTAGGCTGAAATGGACTCCTGAGCTTCACCAAAGGTTCACTGAGGCTATTAATCAACTTGGAGGTGCAGAAAGTGAGCAAAATACCAACTTACGAACCTTACTATTTTGATATTTAAACTTTATATTATGTCTTTGCAAATGTATTATTCACACTGTTACATGTGGCAGAGGCAACTCCAAAGAGTCTTATGAGAGTGATGGGGATTCCTAGACTCACTTTGTACCACCTCAAGAGCCATTTACAGGTATTGCTAGATTGGAATCATGATAGTATCATAACTTGTTGCTTTAACTGAATTCAAAAAATCATGGGTTTGAGCGTATTTGTGTTTTTTGTTACAGAAATATAGACTTGGGAAAAGCCAACAGCCAGAAACCTGCTCTGACATCAAACAACAAGGTGACCTATATATGTCTGGTTTTTTACTAGTAATAGCATAACTCGTAATTTTCTGATTTTCCCCTTGATGCTGTTTATTGGTACAGGTTACATAGAAATCCAAAACAGTGATGGTCATTGCAGCAAGGAAATCACAACTGGAACCCAGAATGAGATGACTGAGTAATAGTTAAAATTTGAGCAAATAGTTGAATGGCTTTTATTGATTTTGCTAGTAAATTGTAATGCCTTGAAATTTATAATTTTCATTGATCAAATGCTGCGTTTAACAGAAGCATGAAGATTGCTCAAGCTCTCCAAATGCAAATGGAAGTACAAAGGAAACTTTATGAACAAATCGAGGTAGCAGTAGCACATAACATTGTCAAAAAACTTATTCCAATCTGAATTCCATTTGATGCATGAAGGCATGCTAATTGGTTCGGATCATGATTTTAGGTCCAGAGACAGTTGCAGCTTAGAATCGAGGCTCAAGGGAAGTACCTACAATCGGTACTAACAAAGGCACAGGAAGCCCTTGCAAGTTACAGTTCTTCTTCCACAGTAGGTGCAGAACTTGCAAAAGTTGAACTTTCTCAGTTAGTTTCAATAATCAACAATGCATGCCCAAGTTCTCCAATTTCAGAACTCACAGAAACAAGAGGGCTCAGTTTGAACAATGGAGAGAGGAAACAAGACAGAGGAACCATGTGTTCACTGGAAAGTTCTTTGACATCATCTGAAAGCTCTGGGAGAAAAGAAGAGAAACAACCAATGGATGAGGCAGAGGACACTCAAATGTCTGATAGTGTTTCCGTTGAATTGCCATTAATGGCCGAATACCCACAAGATAAAGCATCCAAGGGAGATACAAGTGATGGAAGTAGTAGGAGAAAGAGAAGTGAAGCACTAGATTCTGATGGTAGCAGCATTGATCGAGCATGTGGAAAAAGATGTGGCAACAAGTTGAGGAAATCTGAGTTGTCAGAAATGCTTGACTTGAATAGCCAATGTCATAGAGACATGGACTCAAATGTGAAAGAAATAGATTTAAATTGCAGTTCAAGCTTTTGGGGGAAATGAAGATGTTTCCTAATGTAATATTTAACATATGCAAGAGAATTATTATCAGATGAAAATATGTTTATAAAATATGTATATTTTTATAATGAAAAGAAAGAAAAAGGTATAATACTTATTTATGGCCCATCTCTCTCAACCTCTGTTTCTTCTCTTAATCTTGTTGCTGATATTGGGGCACAGCGTAACTAATTTCTACTGTACTAACTTTGAGTAATGGGCACCCACTGGTTTTATTTATTCTCCATCTGAGGCTTCTGAAGACCCTACCAGAGTCGCGGTTGGTAACATCAAAGAAGCATGATTCTGATGTGAACCGGTTTTTACCAAACATGAAAATAAACCAGAGACAGATGGGTAGGTACTAGCCATAATAGCTTTTTTAGGGGTGAAGTCATGTGAAGGTAAATTTCATGAACTAGAAAAGCTTGTTTAGAAGACTGCTATTGGTACTTTCTCCAATATTTAAAGATGGAGAAAAACATCACATCCAAGACACCGTTGTTGCCACCAAAAAATAAGAATGAATAACGATGCCGAGAGAAACGAAGGTTTTGAAAGTTTGAACTTCAGTCGATCCATTTCACTAACAATGAGAGAACGAAAAATAAGTCTACCTAATATATACACCTAGTGAGAGATAGAAAGAAAAGGGGGAGAAATCAAAGATGCAACAGGTGATATGATATGAGCGAAATAGAGAGAGAGAGAGAGAGAGAGAGAGATGATGATGTGAAAACAAATGGAGGTAGAATTTAAGTTTAAATATGTTAATTCAATTTGAATTATCGCATACAAGTAAATAAATCATGTCCTTCCTTGCAAATCAATACATTATTTCAATGTTGTTCTTATGGAGGGTTGATGGTTTCCTTCAGGGCCTCAATGTAAGCTACAACTCACTTGATTGTTAGAAAAAAGTTTTGAATTTTGATTGGTTTCAATTGCCGCTTCAATGGTGTAGGCAAAGGCAATAGACAATGGCACATGACTTCAACGTTAAGGAATAGTAGCCAAGTCTTATTATTGCACTGTTGTGGGAAAGCACATGCTGTTGTCCTTTAGCTGTAATCAACAACAATCAAACCTCATTGATTAGGTGGGGTAGGCTCTTTGAATCAAACAACCCACTTTTAACCATTACAAAATATTGCAATAAATTAGTTGTGTTTGATGAATTTGTAAAAAGACACATCTCAGCTTACTTTCTACTTCAAAGTCAGGAAACTCCAAATACCATCACAGACTTCAAAATGCTAAGAAAGAGTTTATTCTTTTAATTCACCATTATGTTGCAATTATAGTTGAAGATTACACAGCTAGGACTAAGGTAATTCAACATTTAAACTTGAAAGGGGTTGGGCCAATAACTGCAAGGGATGGCCACAACATATGGACATGAAAATTTAAGTTGAAGCAAAATTACTATCCCTGAGTTCCAATGACGTAACGACGATATTGAAAACCAAGATTGTACTTTTTAGTTCCTACTTCAAAAGGGATGCTTGAACAGAATAACAAAGACACCCGGTTGTTATTGAAGTGAAATTCAGCTATGTATAGCAATCAAAAAAGATATGGCAGAAAGCCTAATCCTAATACATATCCATGCAATTGCATGTTTCTCTTGAGGTAGAAAGTACTTACAGGGAACGCCAACACTATAAAACACGTATATATGATTTGAAAAGTATACGACACCATTAAATTCAAACTTACAAAATTAATATAAAATATAAATATTAAATTAAAAGAAAAAATTAATGATCATAAGAATGAACATTATATATATATATATATATATATATATATATATATATATATTAAAGGGTTAAAAATCTTCTATATATATATATATATATTAAAGGGTTAAAAATCTTCTAATTATTGTTATTATAATATTTCTACATATTTGAAAAGCGTATTGACGATGATGTGTTTAGTGGCATTAGGAGAGTGAATTGATATCTGAAGTAGAATTGCTTTTGAGAGAAGATATATCTATACAAGAAAAAGACAATGTTTGAAATATTTGTGCACTGTCCAAACGACACAAACCTAAAAGTGTCCATGTCTTAGAATTTAGGAAATTTTGAGAGACAATTTAATAATTGTGTCATATTCGTGTGAGTTGGGAGGTTTCATGATTCAACTCATCGTTGATAGGACTAAAGTGTTCATGGTGTGAAGGCACGAGGATAATAGTGAATGACTCAACTTTCTTGGAGTCTCATACCACAAACTCCCGACGCTTGGAAGGGGCAAAGGAATCAAGATTCTCTTAGAGAAGAGTATAATTTTCTGATTTAAATGTCAAATAAAACACAAAAACTAGTTATTAGTTAAACAAAAAGACCCTTCATTAATGTCATATTAATCAATAGTCTTTCAACTATAATTATATGACAAAATTTCTTTTATTAATTAAAACACACAAATTAACATATATAACTAGACACTTAGCTGAACAATGTGCGCGTATGTTAAATATTTTTCAAAATTAAAGTTTAGTAATAATTTGAGCAATTAAAATGTGAAAAAAATACATCATATAATTATCTCCTTTATTTTGAATTTTATTGCTAAAATATTTATACTCGAAGTTTGAAATGGAATTCCGATGTACTCAACATAAAAGTAATGTATAATTTCATGGAAAAATAACTTAGGTAAATACTTGTACAGAACATAAATTAAGGTAATTAAAGGATAAGATTGACGGTGAAAATAAATAAGCAATTAGAAAAATAAAATATTAATTTTGGTTGCTCAATAAAGATAAAATTTAAACAATTGTCAAGGTAAAAAATTTATAAATGTCATTAACAAAATAAAAAATTAACAGAATAGAACTCAATTTTGGTTGCTGAAAAAAGATAAAAGGGTAGAAATATTTAAGTTGCTCGAGTAACTCATGTTATAGTTACTTTATTTAATAAATTTTTTTAAATATTAAATTTTATCAATTATTATTGAATAATGTAATATTGATGCTTTTTTTTATTTGACAAATATACCAAAATCGTAAAAGTAACAGTGATGAGTAAGAACATCACTCTTAGGAACTTATAATACAGTTACCAAAATACAAACTTGTCACTGTATGAACTATAAAGCACATTTGAAAGGTAATAAATTAAATTGCGTTTCGTATAAAAACCATAATGACAAAAATGAATTTACTATACTAAACAAGTAGAATTCAACAATCAAAACAAAAGGTTAGTTATGATTCATTATCATTCTCTCCCTTTGTAGCCACTAAGATTCAATTAATGATCTAATTTCTTAATATAATTAGCGTCCATTCCTTGGCATTCAATCCTAAATTTCAAACATATACCCTAATTCCCTTAGGTGTAGATTTAATAAATTTGTATAAAAGTCAAGAAATCTGCAGATTACGTTAATCCATATTTTAAAGTAAACACAACTAAATCATAATTTCGTATATCTAAGAAAATTTTTGAATTTTCTAATTGTTAAACTTTTTAGAATCATACATTTGGGTGATTAATTAAAAAAGCATTACGAATAAAAGTAATGATACAATTAAATCACAAATCAGAGGACATTGAATTAGATGTAGAATAAGTATAACAAAGAGTTTGAATAAAAGATCCTCATTCTTTAACCTAATAAATCTAGCAATTCAAGAAAGAAAAAACAATAAAAATATAGATAAAATTCAAGATGAAACTCCACTAAATCCTCAAATCTTACTCCTAGAAGGTGGATCTTCAAGAACCTTTCAGAAAGAGAAAGAATTTACGTTTCTGCACAAGAATATAGTGAAAGAGCACGTTCTCCCCGTAATTTCGCACGAGACCTTGTTGGAAATTTTTGTTTAAGTTTTATGATGTCTTGTGCAATGTTAGGAACTTTACTTCCTTTTATGCTTCCTTTAAACCTACAAAATGAAAATGGAAAAATTAACACCAAAATCGCTCATAGAAATTTAAACTACTTTAGCAAGTAAACTAAACCAACACAATGCATTCTAATACAAAACAACAACATAAATTCACTTATGTGGCAGATTTATTAGATACTCACAAGTTGATCATGCATACCATATTTTATATGAATAAGATATTTTTAAATACAATTTTTATAGTTAATATCTACTTTATTAAACATTAAAATAAAGTTATTTCAATAAATTGTTAAATTTTTTTGGTATCAGTTCTTTAGACTTAACATATTCCATAATGACCTTTCATTTAAGGGTTTGATTGCTGAAATTTAATAAGTAATCTAACAATTAGTTTTCTGTTTAAGTAACAATAGAAAAAATTATATTCTTAAAAGTGAAAAGTTTGTTTATAGTTTAGGGAACTGTTATTAACAATAATTTTTCACTTACAACTATGCTAATTGCATAATCGTTGCCTAAATAAAAAATAAATGAGAATAATTTGTGTGATATTAAATAACTAAAAGTTACTTTACCAACACGCTAACAATAGGGAACTATAACTTGCATAATTTTAAAAATGTTGACATTCATAAACAAGCAACAGTTCAATATCAAAAATTTTTAAAATATGATAAATTGATAATTTTGACTATGGCTAAAAAATATTCTCATCATGAATTTTGTGAATGATTTTTCAATTCTAGGTAACAAAAATATTTCCTAAACCTTTAAATGTTGAATGTCAATGAGAAAGAGAAATGAAATTGTTTATATATTATTGAAATTAGAAGAAAGACTAAGAGAACGAAAAGTAGTTGCAGTTATATAGGCTATTTAATTGCAAAAGCTTTTTAAGGAGTATAATGACAAATCTAGAAAGAAAAGTGCATGATTTAATCGAACAATAAAAAATAATTATGTAAAACAAAATAATGGCAATGTATAAGCTAAACTGACATCTCCACAACTTTTAGAAATTATATACTATAAAACAAATATGAAAATAGGAAGATATTGGGTGGCTCGACTACTTCACGGAGTCATCACCACAGACCCAGTGATACCATTTGTGTAATTAAGACTTTTACTGCACTTTCATTTAACTTCAAATTATAATTTATTAATATATATTTCTTTTAGATAAATAAGAGGAGTATATTAATAAGAGTCTCAAACACACTATATATATTAATTTTAAGAAAATT